GGGCACCGGCCGGGACATCGCCGGGCACCGGCCGGGACACAGCCGGGGCCGGGCACGGCCGGCGCTGCTCTGGCATCGGACGGAAGAGGCAGCGTGCGAGCCAAGAGAGCCGGGGGAGGAACGGGAACGGCCCTATCGCCGGCCACCCATCCCGCCCCCCCTCCCCTCCCCCGGAGAAGGGCAAGCGGCGGGGGCAGACCCCGGGGGGACAGCGGTGGCATCGGCTCCCAGGCTGCTGGCGAGCGGGTCCTGAGACCCGCGGGTCACCCACCCGCCGGCACCGGGAGCCCTTCCCTGGCGGGGCAGATCCCCCCCTTCCCTCCCGTCTCCCTCGGCCCGGCGGGACTCACCGACTCTGCGGCGGCGGCTCGCAGGAGGAGGCCGAGCAGCAGCAGCGCGGCGCGGAGCGGGACACGGGGCAGCGGCATGGCCGGGCCGGGCTGGGCTGGGCTGGGCTGTACCGGCAGAGACGGGGCACCGCAGCTGCAGATCCGACCGGAGCGGGCTCTAGCCACCTCCCGCCGCCGCCGCGGCCCTTATAGGGCCGGCACAGCCCCCGCGGGGGCGGAGCGGCGCTGCCCCCGCCCCGCCGGGAATGCCCGCGGCCCCCGCCCCGCACCGGCACCGACCGCCGGGACAGGGGGGCTGCGACCTGCCCCGCACCGGCACCGACCGCCGGGACAGGGGGCTGCGACCTGCCCCGCACCGGCACAGGGACACGGGGACACTGCCGGGCTGACGGCCGAGGCATCGCGGGGGGACGCGGCGGAACCCGGGTCCGTCTGTGCGGGTGTGGAACCCGCGCTGCATGGTTGGGACCCCCGTCCTGCCGGCGGCGGCAGTCACTGAGTTATGGGGAAAGGGGGGGAGGAGAAAGGGAAGAGGGGGGGGGAAGGAAGGGAAAAGGGGCGAGGGAAAAGGGGAAAGGGGAAAAAGAAGGAAGGGGGGGGGGTGAATGAAAAGGAGGGGGAAAGAGAAAGGGGTAGGGAAGTGAAAAGGGAAAGGGAAAGACGGGGGGAGCGGGCACGCAGCATCCGCTTTCGCAGCATTCCACAAGTGACAGTCCCACATTTACAGAAAGGCGAGAGCGAGTCCCCGCGCCTGGCAGCGCGTCACCGCTGCGGTGATCGCCGGTGTTACATCACTCGGGGCTCGTCGGAGGTGGAACACGAAACCGCTCCATCCGTCTTCTCTGTAAGCGGCAAGGGCAAAAACCCCACACTGATAAGGGAGGAGGGACAGAAACTCAACAGCACACTTTAATTATTTCCGTTTCTCTTATCACATTTAATAACTTTGCCTGACCATGAGAATTTGCTTGAAAGCATCTATTACAGTCCCTTAACCCGAGGGGTACCTGAAATCTCCCACCAGTATGGTCTCTGTGTCAGTCCCTCACTCACGCTGCAGTCACATCAGTTTGCACTGGGGCTTTAAGTCTGCAGAGTATAAAGTCATTTTCTGAACAGGAAAGCAACTCAAACACTACTAAGTATATGTGCCATGATCCCACCTCCACCAGAGGTGTCCATGGTGTCCCATGGACACCACCTCCACCAGATCTGGTTCTCAGCCCGCTCCAGCACTACAAAGCTATCCTGAAAGAAGTTGTAGCCTTCCCCCGTCCCACCTTAAACCAAAAAGATCCCTAAAGCGAAGCAGCCTTCCCAATTGCCTGTTCCTTTGGGAATAAACAGGTACAGAGGGTGTGGGCTGAGGTCTAGAGGTGTCCTCAATGTTTGTTAGGACTATGCCTGCACACATGACCGCTGGCAGGAGGATCTCCTGGCAGCGCCGTGCTGAGCTGGCTGTGGAGCTGGTTGGCATAATATAAGGTGACAAAGAGCACTGCTCTGGGCTTAAAAAAATAAAGTAAGATCTGAAGACAGCACACATGCAGGTAAGGGTAGGAACCAGCCTGGAGCAGATTGTGGGGGAGTTTGCTGTAGCACATGACCCTCCGTGCTCAGGACAGCCATGTATCACTAACCCCCTAGTTAACCTCAGCATCCAAGGCCATGAGGAGGGATCTGTGCTGTGGGCTGGGTTATTACCCTTCCTTATTACTCTCACTTCATCACACAGAGGAGCTGATGGAAGTCACTCCTGGTGCGGTCAGGGAGCCCAGCTCCAGTGAATCTCCAGCTCTGGACACCCAGCTGAGGTGGGCAGCAGGAGATGGTGAGGAAGAATGTGCAAGGACTGGTCCATACCATGACAACTTCTGCCAGACAGGAGACAGCCTCGGCAGCACGAGGTGGCCAGAAGCATTCCATGGCCCCTAACCCTCTACATGCCACCTGGATTTCTGTGCATATGGCCATGACCTCTATACACCTCCTTCCAAGCAAAGCAGCCACCACAAAGATGCTTTCAAAACCAGCTTTCTGTATTGTGGCTACAAACCCTGCTCACTCGCCTGATTACTTCCTCTCCAAACAAGCACATTACACTGAACTGCTCCTGGTTGTCATTCCCCTCAACACACACCCACTCCACAAAAAATTTCCCCTGCATGGCACAGCATTTTCCCTCCTGGGGCAGTTCTGCTTTGATAGGATGGAGAGGAGTCAGTCTGCCTGGCCCAGGGACCACACACATTGTCCATCCAAGTCACACCTGCATGCACAGTCCCTCAAGCAAACTGATCTTGGGCTTCTGGAAACAGAAAAGAAAATTAAACTCGACCCTAATGTACTTTCCAACCTTGAGAACAAATGTATGTAACTTTACTAATGACATTTTCAAAGTGCGTTGCGTAGATTCACCTCCCTTCCCCACGTTCTGTGGAAACATTCTGTGACTGTATCTTAAAAGAATCAGAGGAAATGCAGTCACAAAAATCATAGTATGGTTCTGTAAACCCATGGCCATAGAATAGCTTCCTTCATTTTGCCCTTCAAATGTTCAGTCTCAAAATGCTGACATTCTCCTGTCTGGATTAATGCAGAAAATCCATGGGTATATCACATTCATGGAGAGCAACAGGACAAATGGGCCCAGCAAGCAAAAAGGCACCACTGAAATGTCATTTCCTGAAATGACTAACTACTAAACTACAAGGGAGAGAAGCAGAAGAAAAATAAAATGCATGTTGAGAAACACATTTGTTCTGGGCAACGAATTCTAACATTCAAGGTGTGTCAGTTCCCTTCTCCCTTTAAAAATTGCAGTTGGCAGAGAAATAACACAGGCTGGCCACCATTGTTCCTAACCCAGTGCTCAGTATGAAGGGTTACCTAACTCTTGTGTTGAAAATAAAAAATAAACAGCTGTCAGTTACCAACACAATGCAAACATGCTGGAAGTGGAAGGGAGTGTCAGAATACAACACATTTGAAGGGTGAGAGAATCACATTTTTACATGACACATCAAGAAATGTCTAGATAATCTTGAGAAGGCCACACACAGGGCCCTTTAGACAATTCTAGATCATAAATCCTACTGTAGTAGCCAGGAACAGAGATTCTCCAGCCAAGCTCAGCACAGCTCCTACAGGCAGATTTTAGACCAAGCTTGGAGCAGGACTCTTGAGCACAAAGAAACCTTAAGTAGAGTTTTAAAAAAATCTCAGCTCCCAAAGCCTGTTCTGTACTCTTTGGAAAAACACACCTGCACACCACATGAGTGGAGGAAGAGGAGTGACTGAAAACTCTCGTCCCGCACTTTGAGCCACTTCACGCCGACTTATTCTGGAAATGTGTGCTCTTAGCCTTACTGTCCCTTTGGCAAAGGCCACCTTAGCACAAATCCTACCTGCCCGGCAAGAGGGAAACAACCCCAGCAAGGATCATTCAGACAGCACCACCCTTTGTACACCAGCTACTAAAATATGGAGCACCTAAATAAACAGCTTCCTTTTTTAGGCCGTGATTCCTGAGGAGGAAAAACAATACCCTACAAGACACCTATTTCTTACTGAAAGAATTCCTGGCTAAATAGGGTATTCTTTTTCCAGGCTCCTGATAAAGAAGTGACCACAATAGTTGCACGTGATCCGGGTACACCCTCCGGGGGGCATCTGCTATGTCCTGGGCACCTTGCCACTTCTCCTTCCCCTGCTGCTCTTTGCAACATGCAGGTGTCACACACGAAACAGTCACTGGTTAAAAAAGGACGTTCTAACCAGAAGCCAAGCGAGCAGCACCCTAGAAATCATGATCTCAGTGTTTCCTTTTCCCCTTTAACACATGTTCTCTTCACAGCTGTCTCCGAC